GTAATGAAATCTATTTATAGATTGTATTGTTGGTGGCCCAGATGTGATGTTGATATAGAAAATTTTATCAAAATATGTTCTGGATGCCAGAAAAATAGACCATGGTTAGAAGTTGATCTAATGCAGAATACCTCTGCTGATGCTATGATAAAACGACTAAAGAAATGGTTTTCTAGGTTTGGAATACCCAAGTACAGTGTGTCAGACAAAGGACCACATTTCTTATCAGGGGAATTCCGTAGGTATTGTGATTTAAATAACATACGTCATATACGTTCGGCACCCTATCATCCAAAAACTAATGGATTAGATGAACGTACAGTACGAACTTTGAAAGGTCGGTATTATGCGAGATTCAATTAGCGATCCCGAAGAAGCTATGACACAGGTTTTAACAACCTACCGATTGGGAGAGCATAGTTCCACAGGGAGATCTCCTGCTAAAATTATGTTTGGGAGGCAATTGAAAACAAGTCTGGATTGGATCCGACCAAATGCCGAACACGAAATAGTAAGGGCTAATGATAAACAAAGCCTTCATCATGATTTACATTCAAAGGAAAGAGAATTTGAAATCTCACAACCTATATGGTTAAATAATGAAAATACCAATGGTTGGAGAGAGGGAGTAATTAAAGAAAGAATAGGACTTTATTCTTATATTGTTGAATCTTCCGGGAAAACATTACGGAAGCATGCAGATCAGTTAAGAAATCGTTTAGTTATCCCAAATCATGAAAGTTCTTTGGAAGTTACAGAAATGGTTGTGCCAGTGAATGAAGCAAATACAAACACAAATACAAATACCACATTACGTTGCTCATCAAGAAACCGTAAACCTACAAAGAGGTTTATTGAAGAAATCTAACTTTAAATTGTTTGAAGGAAATGTAATAAATTAATAAATGATTATTTATGTATATTGTATATTAAAAATAGAATCGAACATTCGAAAAATAATAAATAAAAATTTGATATCAAAAATAAATTGAAATATAAATCAGTGGTCGTATTGTTTATAATTAGTAGTTGGTATTACTACAAGTTCAGACTAATTTTCTTAATAATTATTATCTATTTCGCATATTTACTAACTTGTAGATTAACTATTAACGCCAATTATCTCTTTGAAAGTTATTATACATGTTTCTGGATAATTATGTTGTTTTTTTAAAAAAAAAAGATGTTTTATAGCTTTGTCCGCATTATAGGAAATTATATTCACTAATTATTTATGCTTTCTAAAAAATATTTATATATGTAAAATTGATGAATTTAGAAAAGTATTGAGAATATAAGACACTTTATTACCTATTTTAAAGATTCTACATCGTGTTTAAAATATAATATCCATTTTTAAGTGAATCTTGATGAGTTTAAATGTACCTTGCCGGTTATTGCAACCAATTATAGCTTAATTGTTAACTAAAATATTTGATTTTAAATGGTAACTGATCATAAATAACGTACAACCGATGAGTAAGATAACATATCACCCACTTTTTCTTAATTTTCATGATAAACTATTTTTAAAATGAATTATACATACAAATTAAACAATTTATTGAAGAAATATAAATATAAAATTTAATTTCTACCTCTTTTTATTCTGAACTGACAAATTATTGGATATTCATCATTGTTATCACCTATTTAGGTATTCTAATTGCAACTCTCGATATGATTCTATGAAAATGCTTACAAATTTAAAAACAAAAATATAGTTATTTCTTAAATAATTTAGAATAAAAAATTCAAGATCAAATTATTTTAGTTTTAATAAATAAATCAAAAAATACAACAGCCTTTTATTTTTGATTTTTCAAGCCCAAAAAGTAAAAAATAAATATCAAAGTAAAGAAAGATAAAATTTTAACCTCAAGAATCCTTGATAACGATTTTTTTTAAGTTCTCCTTACCAATGTCCTTATCCGAACTTCCATGTCTTGTATTTTCACTTCGTACTTAGTATAGTATAACTTTAATATAAGAAATTGTTTTATAGCTTGTATGACTTTTTTTCTGGCACATTCTTTTCCCTTTTTTTGGTACATTTTTGTCTAAGCATACAGGCATTCCAATATTATCTATTTAATTTAATCAGAAATATGCTAGTAGATTCATTTGAGTTAAAAATATTCTTTTTACATTTTTTTAAACCAAATTTTTGAATTTTTATTATGATTGTTAAAACAGTAATAAGTTGTAATATAAATCGTTAGGCTTCTTCTGATAGTTTATCATTATAATGATTGTTAAGACATAAATTAAGTTGTAATATTTTTTTTTAGATTTAATATAAACTAATTTTTGATAAAATGTATGTAATGTAAAAATTTGATACAAACTTTAAACTTTTTGGAGTATTCTCTAATGACGAAAAAGGCAATTAACCCCCATTTTTGTCGATCAAAATTAATATTTTTGTCTAAAGGATAAATTATCTCGGAATATTTTGAGATTTTATTTATTAACCTTCATAGTCTTTGAGAAGATTTCGATTTCGAAACATATTTTATTGGGTTTGCATTTATTTTTTTTTCCTTCAATTTATATTATTCCTAGTCTTTGACATAATTTAGAGATAATGATTTTTTAAAACTTCTTTACTTTCACACATGGTAAATATATTTGTTATCATTATTATAAATATGGAAGTATTAGATGAGATCATCATCATTTCAAAATAAATCACGTCAACTTTTAAACTATACGTAAAATTTAGAAATTAAATGATATGTTAATTCTCTTTAAACACAAATCCAAATCAGTAATTATATCTTAAATCCGAACCCATTTTAGGGTCCGGTTCAAATAGAATCTGATATAAAGTTTAGGTTGGGCTAAATTAAATTCCCTTAACTGGTTTAACAGTGATTATGGTGTAACTAAAAAAATTGACGTTAAACAACTGATTTATTTAAATTTCTATTCGTCACGTTTGACAGGTTATTAATTAAAAAAGGATTAAATTTTATTTCAATATCAAATTAAAAAAATTTCTAAGATGCTAATTCCTTTTGTTGAGTTATTATCAAGTCTTCATTATTAAATGCTGAAAAAATAGTAATGATTATATAATTCTTTGATTTTAATCACTATTATTAAAATTAAAATATTTAAATCAGAAAAAAAACCTATAAAAATTTTTTGAGCAAAATTCTTTAAAGATTTTTTTTTAAAGAGGAAAAACTTTTGATTAAATTTTACATAAAAAATATCAAAATCTTTTATAAGTTAATATTTTATTTTTATGCATACAAGATCTTTCAAGACAAAATTAGAAATTTTTTTTGAAACTCTGGTTTAAATATTTTGATTTTGATATAAAAATATTATTTTTTTACCTCTATTATATTAGTTATGAAAAATTTTATATATAGAAACTTAGCAAAAAGTAATTTATTTATGTATGATGTACCTACCGTTTTACATAAACTTAAATCGCACCATTATTAGTTTTAAACGAATGTAGGCAAAAATCTATTATTGACTGAAGAAAATTATTACGAATGGTTTGGTTATTATAATTTCAAACATGATCATGCCTATCAGAATAAAATTCATAATAATACTTTCAAACAAATGGACAGAATCGCCCACCAGGGCTTTAGCAAAATATTTCTTAAGACTGGTGAAAGGTAAATATTATTGCGTATTTTAATTAGAAATTGTATGATTCAATCTGAAATTTCAAATTTCGATCACTTTGGATTATTTGTATGGTGATTTGAACATGAATTAGGTAATAAATAATAAATAGGCAATATAGTATATCGTAGCATAATATAGATGTAATGTATTATCATTAAATAAATTTTATCTTTTAAGAATAACACAATTTATTATATAAACATTAATGTTAAAGTTAAATTATTATTTGATATTTTCATTTTGTTAAAATAAAATTTTATTTTATTCTTATAAATCTTTTTATATCTTAAACACCACATTGGCGACGATTAAGTTTATAGAGGCATATTAAATTTAAAGGTTAAAGATATGATGGATATTATACTATGCCACGCCAAGACTCGAAGGTAGTTCTAAAGAAAAATGAAGAAGCATTATCCTCTAGTCAATTCCATATTCCAGAATTCTTTAAATCGAAAGATAACAGGACTATATATATAAAGAACTCATCTTTAAAGTAAAATATATTGTCGATCATAATAAAAAAACATTTGTTACGAGCGTACATAGGCACGGATAACTTAATTAAAATAAAAAATTTCTATTACCCAATATATTTAGAGAGGATTAATTATATAACTTTACTTGATAATTTTGAGAAAATATTTAAGGATATTTCTAATATTTTCCTACATCAAAATAATTTTAATACCAAGAAAAGAGGCGGAGAAACTATGGATAATATCCTGGAGCCTAATTATTTATGTTCAAACAATAATAGAAGGCCTGAAATACCTTCGTCTTCTGGTCTTCCAGTTGCTTGTAATTGCACATGCATCAATATTTGTCGGCACGATTCAAGGGAAATATCTTAGCAATTCGTTCAGCACAATTTTTACAATAAATAATTATCTAGGCTAACGTAATTTTTATTCCATTTGTCATCAAAAATCTTGGTGTTTTTGGTGATAATTTTCTTAAATTTATCACATTACTAGAGGAAAAGCCTAATAAATCCTTCTATTTAAATTTAGCCCTTACGATTTCTATTTTTCAAAATCATTGTATTGTGATTCATGTTTCCATTTAGCAATACATGTAGGTCGTTCTCACCTTTGTTATCGCCAATTTTTTTTGTATAATGCTATTTTTATGATTATGATTTTTTTTTATATGACCTTTTTAAAGTTCTTTTTTAATTAAAAAAATTTAATTTAAAAAAAAACTAAATGTAATTTCCTCAAAATATTATGTTTCAAAAATAAATTAATAATAAAGTTAAACAAAAGGTATAAAAATAATATAATGTGATCAAAAAATTTAAGAAATAAAGAAATATGTAAATGCATTTGATTTTTCCAATAGAATAAAATTCTATGAAATGCATTAGAATTCTTTAATACGTTTTCATCTGTTTCCACACCATTTTTTTATTTTACTTACAGTCACACATAAATATTTAAAATGCCTAGACGAAGTGCCGGAAGGTAAACTTAAACTAAAAAAATTCATATTCTTAACCTAACTAAATAGATCATCGCCTTCAAGATCTTTTTCATCAGTTCCTGCTAGAAGATCACCTCAACCCTCGATGCCTGTCAAAGCGACTCCAAAGCCTAGTCAGCCTCTAGGGCCTGGATTAATGGCTCAGATGGGAACCACAGTAGCTGGAGTTGCTGTTGGATCTGCAATAGTTTATTATATTAAAATAATAATTTTTATTTAATACTAAAAGGGGCATACATTAGGACATGCTATGACTGGTGCATTTTCAGGTGGTAAAGCTGAAGACTCTTCCAATGCACCAATAGCTAATGGGTCAAATACTGAATACAATAATACATCCCCATGTTTATATGAAATGAAACAATTTTTGGAATGTTCAGAGCAAAATAGTGATTTGTCTCTTTGTCAAGGATTTCAACAAGCATTTAAAAATTGCAAAATTAATGCTGGTGACTATACTATTTAAAAATATTTCATTATATTTATTTTATAGGTTATTACTAAAGTTGTTGACATCATATATTACAAATATAAAGGATTGTTTCATTGTTATGATTATATAAAGATATCTTCAACATTTTATAATAACTAAATATAACATTATATTTTGTATTTTAATTATATCAAGAACTTGGAATTAAAGCTTAGATTTTAGAAGAATAAAATACAATTCAAAAATTGTCTTTTAAAATTATAATATAATGTTCTACCAATATTAACACAATGTTAAACGGTATTAGTATTGTTAAACTACTCAATTTGAGCCTATTTTTAAAAACGACTAATATTTTAGCCAAAAAATATTGCCTCACCTCAAGATTTGATCAATAGAGTCCAAATCTTTGTGCCATCTATTAGCAAAATCTTCAGGCTTGCGTAATATTTTTTCTGGGCTATAAAATTAAAAATATATATAATATATTTTAAATAAATTCTGGGTTATGTAAAACTTGGGTAGGGCCAAAAAAATTTTTAACCCTTTAATGCTCATGAATAACTTTTGCAAGGATCCAACCTGAACCTTTAAATCACTAAAAATTTCTAGCCTAACCTCTAAAATGCCTGTGAACCGGTTCGAGCCTCATGATTTTATGCTTATAAAATAATGTGTAAGTTATTAGAATGCAAAAATTTTAATTATATTTGAATTGTTTTAAAGATTATTACCAAACACATTTGATTGATAAGTCTCAGTCATAATTTTAATAAACTTTAGTGTATTGCCATTTTACAGCATTTTTAAAATATTTTAAACTTATAAATTATATTACCTAGGTAAAAAATTAAATCCATAAAAAAGAAACCACCCTCTAGAATTCGAATAAAATTTACAAAATATCACAGCAAAAACTTGATAAAATAAAAAAGTTTAAGATCATATAAGAATATGGCATAACATGGAATTAAACTTTGTTCAGGGGCGTCGCTAGACTTTACAATCTCAGGGGGCTCAACTAAAAAAAATTTATGGGAGACTTCGCCCCCCATATTGCGGGCCTTCGGCCAGGTTTTATATTAATATATACTTTTTTTAAATTTACTAACTCTAAATAATTATTCTGAATGTCATATATTATATTTTGCATAAAAAATAAACTAGCATATATAAATAATACAAGACATTTCTAAAAATAATATTTTTTAATAGAAAATCTATTATTACAGTATAAAATATTTTCGATTGTTGATATAAAATAATTTTGCGTCTAAAGAAATAAATTATATAAAAGGTTAATTAATTACTATATGCCTCAATTGATAATAGTTTTTGAAAACTACATAATATAATATAATTCTTAGCAACTTACATTGACAATAGGTCATGAAACTAATATAACTCCCTATTACCATTTTAGACAATGTTTTATAGAATGGACTAATAAGAAAAAATTTATTGACCTAACCAAATCTACAATTCTTGAAGAAGAGAATATAAACGACTAATCTAAATCAAAAACTATATGGTGTTTAGAGCTTCCTCTTAGATGACATGATGGAAGCTAGATAAGTAATCGAGTAAATTATTGTATGAAATTAAATTTCTAAAAGATTATCTTCCATTTTCAATGTTATATAAACGACTACACAGTTGACCTATTGCTTATCTAAAATATGCGATCATATGCTCTAATAATCATAAATTACTAAGCCACACAAATAATAGATGCTGATTAATTTGCAGTCCTATCCATGACACTCACGATGGTAACCCATCACAATTTATTTTGTTAGATAAATTGATAAAACAAAAACTGTTGTGTTTTAACTAGTTTATAATATTTATTATGCCTTTGTTCTAGTGATATGTTTTTATATTACCATTACCATTTATATTTTTATTTTCTTTATTCAATTAGAAGTGATGTGTTTTTTTTTCTCATTATCATGTATATCTTTCTTTTTTTCCCTTTGTTCACGTATACCAAGCTTGTTTTGATCTCATCCTCAAAACTGGTTCTAGCCAGTTTTCGAGATGGGCCTGGATTATTAACATTCTTTTTTTATTATTTTCAATTTATCTATATAAAGACCACAAAAAATGAAATTCGGGATTGTGAAATTTATATACATTTTTTGTTTGATTAATTATTGGATGAGTTTGATTTTTTTTTACCTTGGCTTTGTAACTTCGACTTTAATAAACTTTGAAAATATTATTTCCACTACGTTGTCCGAGTGATTCCATGACAACATCGATAAAACCCGGCTTCCTGGATCCCGTCATCGACCATCCCGGACCCCCGATCACAGACTAGTGTTGTTAAAAAGCCGAGTTTTATCGGCTCCGACCTCGAGGTCATAGCCAAAAAATTTGCTCAAGCTCAAGCCGGCTCGCTCGAGTCGGCTCAGGAGTTGGCTCAAGCCGGCTCAGGAGTTGGCTCAGGCCGGCTCAGGCCGGGACAAGAATTGGCTCGAGTCTTATTTTAAGCCAAAATTTGTTTATTTAAATATGTTAAAACAATATAATATATATTTATTTATTTTTAAACATAATAATTTATATATATTTATTTTTAAACATAATAATTTATATATTATGGAAATAGTTTATTGATTTGATGTTTTTTTTAATAAAAAAAATAATATGCTGCTATTGTTGTATTGTAATATTATTTTTTTTGTTACAATTTATTAGTGATTTTCACGCGCCCAAATTTTTAAGCAAAAAAAATTTTTGAAGCTCAAAAATAATAAGAATTTTAAATTTTCATTTGATAAATTTTTTGGAGAATTTTCTTTTAAATAAACAATCTTTGAGGTGAAATCTTTTATGTTTTTTTTAATCATCTTTGTAAAATTATCTATTTTTTTGTATATTTAAAGAGGTGGTTTTTTCTAAATAATTTAGAAAAATATTTATATTAGATTTTTTTATGTTATTTTAGGCCTGTCCAGGATTACATATTATAACTATATATTCAGGGCTGGCTCGTCCATCTTTCAATCGTTTGAGTTGATTATTGATATTTCTATCTTCAATATCAACAAATATTTTAACTTATAATAATATATATACATTTTGCTCCTTTTGGAAAATCCTCTCGCTGAGCCACATGAATGGCCTCCAGAACTCTTAGGTAGCTCTCATGTTTATTTTTAACTATAAATATAAATGTATTTAAAAATTCTTCCAATCCAGTCTTGTAATTTTTAATGGATATTTTTAATATTTTAGTTTTTAAAATAACTTATACATTTTAAAAAATATTAAAAATACAATACATCTAGGATTAATTTTTCTTTAATGCCGCTACGTCTATTTGTTATATATTTGAGTTAAATAAAGAATGCATATATTTATAAACTGCAGTTATAACCTAGTGTCGTAAACGCTCATTTGCAGGTGATTTTTAAAAACGGCTAACTCAATTTATCCAGTAAAATATTAAGCAATCCGGAAGATTTTGCTCAAAAATTTTAAATTTATATAAAATCGGGCTGGGCGGAAAGATTATTTATATTTCGGATCGGACTTTTCGAAACAAAAACTCATTCCGGATAGGATATATTTTAAAAAAAATGGGCCTAGCTTGGCTTATTATTATCAAGTTGTGTCAAATTGAGATCTATATTGTAAAAATATTTCAAGAAAGCACTAATATTTTTCAATTTAAAAAATTTTTTTTTCCAATAAAAAAATTTTAAATTTATATAAAATCGGGCTGAGCGGAAAAATTATTTATATATTGGGTCGGATTGGAAACAAATTAAAAAACACGTTCTGGATAGGATAAATTTTAAAAACTTTCAGGCTTCTTTTAAAATTAGGCCAGTAACTTCACTAATTTATAGTAACATTTTGTCTTATATTTAAACGAAAAAAATAATGTGGATTCTGCAGTGTCAAAGTTTTACAAATTAACCAAAAATAATAAAAATTAATTATATTATTAGGAATTAAATAGAAATAAATGAGCCATCATTAAAATAAAGAAACCATTGAACAAGGAAAAATTAAACCTTTTAATCTAGCGACAAAAACTAAAACTGATATTTATATTCCTCAAAATTTAAGAAAAAATTAAATTCACTAATCGGATGCTGAGCCAATTAGCATATTGCCATAAACCTAAATTAAATTGAATTGCTAGTTGATTTAATAAAATAATATGTATATTCAAATTTACTTAATGAAATCAAAATTATTTTAATTAACAAAAGACTATGTATCTCGTTTAAGATTACAAATTTTAACAAAATTATGTAACTCTAACTACTCTTCTCCTACTTTTTTTAAAAAATATTATTTGAATTTATTTACTTTTTTTTACATAAACTAAAAAAACATGGATTTTATTTTATAATAATATTAAATAAAATTTAATATTATTATATTATAATAAATAAAAAAATATAAAATATCTAACTTTGTAAAAAGTAAATTTCAAACAAATACAATTAATGATTTAAAATTTCCGGATGCTGCCACTCTCGTCTCGGGTGGTATATTATTTTTTTATGTTATTAATTTTTTTTTAAATAAATATAACATTTTTTTTAATGAATACTTATGTATGATTAAACTTGTGAATGAGTTTTGTATAAATAAAGATTTAATATCATCAGGAATTACAATATAGTTTAGTGATCTGCATCGGGCCTTATTTTTGAAACCCGGCCTGGCCCGAAATTTTTTTAATAAAATTTTGCCGACCCAGCACGAACCCGAAATTATTTATGAAAAAATTTACCGGCTTGGCCCGATTTATTATAAATATATAAATTAGTTTTTATAAATAATTATAAATAAACGATATATATATGTTATATGGCGTCTAGTTTCTATAAATAAAAACAAATATTTTATTTTGCATAAAAAATTCAACATAAAATTGATAAATTTAGATAAAAAAATTTATCAGGCCTGAGCACCACAGAGCCCGAATTTAAAAAAAAAAATATTAGGCCTGTCCCAGCCCGAACCTATTTTTTTTTTAAATATAGGCCCGAAGCCCGTTCGGACCAGGTACTGGCCGGGCCTACTCTTGCAGATCTTTATACTTCGTGCAATATCATATTTATACTTCGGTAGAAAAAAAACAAAAGTTTGCTATACCGATGAAATAAGTGTCGTAGACCTTTTTTAATTGTTATAATCTTCATTTTGGCTCAAGCCGAAATTTATTTAAGTTTAGTAT